AGGAGCTGTCACACTTGGTGCTGGAATTAAGCAGAGGCCAGGGAAGGCCATCCACTGGGGGATTCCCGGTATGCTGCCCTTCAAGGAAGGTGGTACTTGGTGGAGCCAGCCTTTGGCTTCTGTCCCTTTCATTCCCATGCTTGCCTTTCCTGAACTTTCTCTCCCTGGGGTGTCAGCAGAGGCCTTGGACAGATGCTTTTGCTGAGATGGATGGGCTGGCCTTTTTGGAAGTCTACAGTGGACATCCCAACCATGTCTTGACCTGAGATTGGTTGGTGATTCTAAAGATCTCTCCTTGGGACAAAGCCTCTCAGCCTGTCATTCTCCCCTGGAAACTGTTTTTATTCCTCAGGACATTTGGCAATTCCAGAAACACCTTTGGTTGTCACAAGTGGGGGAGTGCTACTGGCATCTAGTGGGCAGAAGCCAGGGATCCTGCAAATGCACCACATGGGACAGAATTAACCAGAATTACCCTCCAACAAAGAATTATCCAGTCCAAAATGCCAACAATGCCCTGGCTGAGAAACCCTTCTGTAGGCCAGCCCAGGCTCGCCAACAGATGCTGTCTCCAGCCTAGGAAGCGGTGTGTCCCAGAGACCCTCTCGTTTCCTGAAATGACCCTGGAATCCATATCCCCCATTTCCCCAGTCCCAGCTCACTCAGTCTCTTGGTGAGACTTGCTCTATGAAAGGCATGTACATAGAAGGAAAACAGTATATTCTCCAGAGCCCTGTGGAACCCTGATAGAGACCTGAGTTCAAGGGTGGGGGCTTGGCTCTGCATATACAGCTTCAGCCTGGGAGAACCATTGGACCTCCTCCCTTCATCTTGCTGTCTCCATCCTCCTCTTTCTCCTCAATCCTGCTCCTCCCACCCCAGCTTCTACCATTACCCCCAGTCCTCCAGAGATTAATGTGATAATTGCCATGTGTGCCTGTTTACACAGGGAGTGGGTGCACTCACCACCCCCAATCAGGCAGGTTCCCAAAGGAGCACATTTCACGGTGTCAGGACTGGTACCCGCTGAGCACACCCTGTGCAGGCGGGCTGCCACCCCCGACTGCTTTCTCTGTCTGTCATTACCCCCATCATGCGCACGTGTATATGTGTGTGTCACTTGGGGAATCAGCAGGTGAGAAAGACAGCAGTCGGCCTGCCAGTCTAGGGGCTTGGCTGGGTTGGGTGGGAGGAGAATGAGTGCCTTAAGTAAGAGGACATTGCCCCAAAGAAAAACACTGTTCTGTAATGGCTGACAAAGAGTAGGTGTTCCATGAATGGTGGGGAATGAAGAGGCTGGCACTCCTTGTGCAGCCTTCTTTGCAGGGAGGAGCCTGGTTTATACTTACTTAGCTGCTCCACAGCAGCGGTCTGGGCAGGGAAGGTTCTACTGTGAGACTCTTGGGCCAGAATCTAGTGGAACATGTTCAGAAGGCTGTGGGTCTCCTTCCCCAGCATCTTGCTCAGAACATTTAGCGTGGCCATCGTCCTCTGTTCCTGAAGGAAGAGTCACCAGGGTAAGTAGAGTGTGATGATCCCGCATGCAAGCAGCTTGTCAGAGTCACAGAAGCAGAGGAGTTTGGAGAAAGGGTGAGAGAGAGAGAGCTTCTCACCTAGGCAGCCTTCCTCTCTTCCCCCTCCTACTGTGACACAGGCACAGGGACACCTGAGAGAAAACACACTCATAGCTCTGAGATTATTACACTGGCAACTTTCTCCTTGGTGTTCCTGACTCCCGCCTCACATGGTTTCGGGGCTTTTGCTCACTTGAGAGTTGTCGATTACTTTCTTCTTTTTCAATCTCAAAAGACACTTTAGTAGTTGTCTCTCCTCCACTGGATAATTTTAAGGTTTTAATAATGAATCAGAAGGAGATTGGAGTTCTAATTAGCATCAGAAAGAACGAAGTCATTGTGGGGGAGGAAAATGGGAAGTCCTTTGCCCACTTCCTGCTGAGCTGTGTCCCCTTGTCCTGCTGGATTTGTCATTGATCCACTGAAGGGCATGTGAGATGAGGGTGAGGCCTCCTGGTGGGGAAAGATGGGAGGGGAAGAAATGGGAGGAAACCCAAGGGAGAGGAGAAAGGTGTAGAGAGGGTGCAGAAAGTCTATTAAAAGGTTTGTGAATAATCTCAGGGCGCTGTCAAGCTGCTTTCTCCAGAAGAACCTTTTAAGCTGTCAGTCATCTGTAATAATTCCCTCAGGGGATAGTGCCCCTGGCCTTGGTGTCCTCCTAGTCTTTCTCTTTCTCTTCCCCTTCCTCCTCTTCTTCTCATCAGCCAGGTCCCAATGCCATAGTGGAGGACAGTTTTTCTTAAAAAAACAATTCAGACAAAGCTTGAAAGGAGACCATCAGAATGAAAGTTTTGTGGGTTTTTTTTTTTTTTTTTTGATTCATTTTAAACACGAGAATTCTCTTATTCAAATTGTGGTTGTTTATTGAGTAGTTGAACCACACACACTCCATGTGCCAAACACTTCATTAGGTGCCAGGTATAGAAATGAACAGACAGTTAAGATTCTTGCCTTAAGGTGGGTTAAACCCAAACCAAAATATTCTCACAACACGTGGATAAAGAGACACTGTCCTTGTCATTGTTTTTTTCTGGGAGAACTGGGAAGTGTGTTCTAGACTTTGGGCTCATGAGAAGAGTCTTCTTATCCCTGCATTTCACAGGCTGTATTTCCTCATTTGTTAATAGATTTTCTTCAAAAAGAGGGGTTTCATAATAAGGAAGTGTATGAAATGATATTGAAGTTAGTAATGTGCCTTTCATGAGTCTTCCCACAGGCTAAGGGGAAAGTATAATCTGTTGTGTTTCCTAAGTCTCTTTGGTCACAGAAGCTCATTTTCCACAGAACACATTAACATCTTGCAGATCACTAGCAGTGAGAACGCTTTTTGGGAAATGTTATTCACTCTACAGTGTCTCTGGCAAATCATCACCCAACTGAAATTGCTCTAGCCATCCTCAAACAGTAGCTCAGTCACTCCTGGGACCAAAGACACCTTAACAGTCACAATTTCATCCTTTCCATTGCTGGTACCAACTAATGTTTATTGGCAGCTGAGCCCTGATCTGGGTGCTGGGAGCAGACTTAGTCCTTGTTGCCAAACCCCGCCCCCCCCCCCCCCCCCCCCCCCCAAGCACTCTGGCTAAACTGTATAGTCAATACAACTTCTGGTGCACCACTGGTGAGCCCTCTGAGCTAACCAGTCTTTACAAAAATGTTGCATTTGTAATCATGAATAAAGGTAGAGCTATTTATGCATGGATCCTGTGATCCTATCCTTCAGCTCACAGGAAGGACCATGTCTCAACGGTCCCGGAAAAAAAAAACAAAAAAAACAGCTTCTTATGTTCTTTAAAATCCCTTGTGGCCCTTGATAACTAGTTCTTCTGCATTTTCTTTCTGATAATCAGCAGTTTTCTTTGAGGTCTGGCCCACATGTTCCCTGCTTGCATTTAACTGATCAGACCTGTTTGAACCAAAGAGTTAGAACTTACAGACTGAAACTGGCAGATCCCCACTTTTGTCCCATACAATTCAGAGGGTGTTTGTTTTTAACTTATATTCTGCTTCATTTGCAATCATCCGTCTCTGAACAGTGTGGGGGCAAGACAAAAGATACAAGTTTGGTGAAAGAGGTTGTCTTAAAAGCTATTTTTAATGGAAAATTCTACTGTGCAGTGATAGCTTCCATGATCAGTGGGAAGCTATATTCTGTGGACTGACATATTTCAATAGGAGGCAGAAAGAAAATTAGATAATTTGAGAGAAAAGAAAGAATGTCCTCAGAGACCACCAGAAGCATGAGGGCAATGAATCAAACATATGTTTGTAAAGCTTAGCAGTGAGAAGAGGAAAAGGTAAATCACAGGGATAAGAAGCATTTTGTCATAGAAATTCTGAGTTCAGATCTTAATTTTAGTAATTTAGCCTGTGAATTTTAGTCATGGCATTTGACTTTCATGGTGTTGTTTCTCCAGTGAATTAAGAATAAAATATCTTTTAATTGTTTCAAATGGGTATTACAGTTTGCATGTGAGGGGCTGGTGTGGGGTTGGAGGGGGATTTCCAAAGCCTGCATATATAAAATACAATTCAAGGAGACTGTTTAGAAAGATTTGGGATTGATATTATGGGGAGGAAGGGTCAAGGTAAAGTTTAGTTGAGAGGCTGAAGTGTTAGAGAAGACTTTTCAAAACGCTCCCAAACGGTTCCTAGGTCCTAATAAGACATCCTGCCAAGGGTTGCTTCTTTTGGCTAAGCCATGTGGTGTAATCCTCCCTCAGCCTCTAAGTATTCAGGGGCCATGAATCTCACTTGTAGTATAAGAATCCAGAATTTGGATTTCCAAGCATTTTTCACTTCACTGTGTGTTCGGATTAGAGAGAGAGGAAAGGATTGATCTTTAAATCTAGATTTATTCCTTATTCTGTCCAGAGCCTTGTTGGGCCCAAGCCTGAGCCCGCTCTGTACTATTGGACTGTGATAGAAGAAAGAAAGAGTGCAGGGTCAAGGACTGAGCAGGATGTGGATGACAATAATGTGTCCCAAGCAGTCCTGTCCAGGCTTTTGCCAGCATCCATGGAGTAGATGGACACAGCTTGCCTCTGATTTTTGAGAATTTGCCCAATTTAGACTGCAAAAGCTTAGAACCCACTTCGTTAAACACTATAAAAACCAGCAATTGTTTGTATGATCTTGGAAAAGTACTTGACCTCTCTGGGTTCAGTTATCTTAGCTGTTAAGTAAGGGTGTTGGACCGCTCCTACTCAGGGTGTTGTGTGAGGCTAATGCAGTGTCCGGTACTGTGTACATGGGAGAATATGAGTTAACCCACAATAACACCAAACTGGGAATAAAGCAGACAGTGTTTAACTGTATTGCTCAGTGCTTGTTATATCACCCTATATGCAAAACTTCAGGAATGGAAGCCTTCTCCTGGCACATGGTTTTGGTAAAATATTAAGGAAGCGTTATTCTTTCTTTCAGACCAATGATGCCTTAGGAGCCACCTGGAATTGGCTGTACTTCATCCCCCTCATCATCATTGGATCCTTCTTTGTTCTCAACCTCGTTCTGGGAGTGCTTTCCGGGTAAGCCAGATGTTCCTCTCTCCTCTTAACTTCTTTCCAACTATAAACTAATGCTCTGGACTACTGGCCAGTTCATTCATTTAACCTCCCTTTAGGGCAGCCCCTGTGTGAGGTGCTATTTGAGATGCTGGAAATGCAGTAGTGCACATTGTTTAATCGTCTTTATTTTTCTTATGAGTTAAAAAAATATTTAAGCCAGGTACAACGTTGAATATAGTATCCAGTGAGAGTTCATTGATTCATATACATCCTTTCATTCAGTCATTCAGCAGTCATAGATCTTCTTTGTCCAACACCAAGCTAGTTGTGAGGGATGTGAGGTTGAATAAGATAGAGGTTTTACCCTCAAAGATTCCTACTCTATCATTTATTGAACATCAAATTCCATATTTGTAGCTTGGATTAGTGTACATCAGTCAGCAAGTACTCACTGTCTAAAGCCATGGTAAGCATAGCAAAGAGCACATAAAGTCTAAGGCATGGTTCCTATCCAACGTGGATAGAACTGGAGAGTGTTATGCTAAGTGAAATAAGTCAGGCAGAGAAAGATACCATATGTTTCAGTCATATGTGGATCCTGAGAAACTTAACAGAAGACCAGTGGGGAGGGGAAGGGGACAAAAATGTTAGAGACGGAAGGAGGCAAACCATAAGAGACTCTTAAATACTGAGAACAAACTGAGGGTTGATGGGGGGTGGGGGAGAGGGGAAAGTGGGTGATGGGCATTGAGGAGGGCACCTGTTGGGATGAGCACTGGGTGTTGTATGGAAACCAATTTTACAATAAATTTTTATATATAATAAAAAATTATATATATACATATATATGTATATACATTATATATATACACATATATATGTATATATATATATATATAACTGTGTTTTGGGGACAGGGCACAAACATTTAGACAGGGAATGTAGTTCTTTTACTGACTAATATGAGATACAGATAATTTGGGGCAAGGAACAAATCTATTATATAGTCTGAGATTATTAGGAATTGCTTCATGAAGGACTGAGATTTTGCTTGGGACACACAATATGTAATAGGATAAAATAGGATATATGTGAGTGAACATTCCATGAATGAGAGCACCACACCATAAGGAAAATTGAAGAAATGGGACTCATCTTGCAATAGGAAAGGATTATAATGAGCCTAATTTACCTAGAGCATTTGGGAAATGTAAAGTGTAAAATAGAGTTACAACAGGGGTTGATTTTAGAAGGTCTTACATTTTTCTAAGCAAAAATGAATTTAATTTCTTCTCTGAGTAGCATAAGTTCTTCAAATGGAAATTACAAGGTGGTGCTTCTGTTAAACATAGAAGGTTGAATGAAATTCACCATGTCTTGTAATTCTACTAACACAGGAAAAAATAATTTAAGAAGGGCACAGTGACAGAACAGGAGAGGAAATGACAACAGATGAGAGAGGTCAACAAAATTTTTGAAGGCAGACAGTAAATGGTAACTGATCTAGTGGTGGGAAAGCTGAGGTTTAAATGCCTTTGGTGAGGAATGCCAATAAAAAGGCAAAATGATTTTCCTTCTGAACCTTCCACAGTCCTGGAAAGCCTCCAGAATTCAAGACACCACATATGTCTGAGAGATGAAATATGGATGGCACTAAAAACAAGAGGATTGGTCAAAAGTCCTCATAAGGAACACTTAGAGGACATCTATCCAACACCCTAGATCTCTATCCCCATCTATCTAATACCCTAGATATCTAGCCCCAAACAAGTCTCACAGGTGACTGCCCTGTCCAACCCCCACCCCAGCCAAAGTCAGAAGACTTACTATCTCTGTAGAGGCTGAATCAAAAATTTGCAATGGTAACATCAGGTGCTTCTGAGGGTAGGGTTGATATGTTGGAATGAAAGTCCACAAACTGAATGTCATGCTTCCAGCCCACATCTGCCTACTCTTAACTCTCAGAAGTGGATCAATCTGGTATGGTAAGGGTTAGTAGGGTTCCTCTGTGGGGAAACCATCCATCTTAAGAGAAGAATATTATGTACTGATACCTGAGGATGGCCAGAGAAATGGTTCCCACCCATTGCCCTCAGCGAGGCTCATATTAGTTTCCTGTGGCTGCCACAACAAATGAACACAACTAAGTGGCTTCACACTGTGAATAAAATTAATTCTCTCACAGTTCTGGATGCTAGAGGTCCAAAATATGGCAGGGTCTTACTTCCTCTAAGGGCTCTAGGGGTGAATTTATTTCCTTCCTTTTCCAGTCACTGGTGACTCCCAAGTATTCCTTGGCTAGTGGCTACATCACCCTGGTCTCTGCCTCTGTGGTCACATTGCCTCCTTGTCTTTTGTCTAAAATGTCCCTGGGCCTCTTTCTTATGAGGACATTTGTCATTGGATTTAGGGTCTTAAGACCCTTAACTTAATTACAACTGCAAGGACTTTTTTCCCAAATAAGGTAACATTCATAGGATACAGGAATTAGGATGTGGACATACATTTTTTTGCAGGGTCATTCAACCCATTACACTTATCATTCTACAAGCTCCAGCCATCCACACAAGAGTTTCTAATAAGCTTTTTTGACAGTGCTCTTAAATATTAAGGCAGAGTAGGGATCATCAGCATTGGAAAAATATATCCAAAACAAAAGACAAAAACAAAATAATATACAGAAAAAAGGAACTTGAGGGGGCGCTTGGTTAGTCAGTTGAGCATCTGACTCTTGATTTCAGCTTCAGTCATGATCCCAAGGTCATGAAATTGAGTACAGTGTTGGGCTCTGTGCTGAGCATGGAGCCTGCTTAATATTCTCTCTCTCCCCCACTCCCTCTACCCCTCTCCCTGGCATGCACTCCCTCTCTCTTAAAAAAAAAAAAAGGACTTGAGGGAATATGAATGATGGAGGGTACAAAAGATAACTCTTAAAAAGTGTAATTGATATTAGCAGAGGTCGAAGAGAAATAATTTTAATCACAAAATAAAAAATAAAAAAAGGAGAACATTTAGCAGTTAAGAAGAGCCCTTGGAAATTAATGTAAAATAAATAATGTAAAATTTCATTAATGCAACATGAATTAATGTAAAAAAATATAAATATGTAATGAAAATAATGAGGAGTAAATGGTTGGAATACAAGATTAATGAAATCACCTAGAAAGTAGAACAAAAATTTTTAAAAAATCAGAGGGTTAGTCCAACATTCAATTTATAAGAGTCCATAAAGAGAACAGGGAAGAGGGCAGGGAGAAACTTACAAGTAAAAATACTAAAAATGTTTCCAGAATCAGTAAACACACATTGCCAGAGTAAAAGTCTGTTGAAACATGCGCAAGGATATTCTTTCCAGCATTAGTTTTTGGTGATGGGAAGTTGGAGAGAACCTGGGCATCCACAGTTGGTAAAGTACATGGGTCAACTGTGGGATGCATCCCATGACATACTATGCAGCAGTTAGGAGCAACAAATACTATGTACACACGACAACATAGAGTATCTTAAAAGCATAAAATTTAGTGAAAACAAGAAATAGTATAGTATAATGCATGTAAAAATACATACACACAAAATACATAGATTGTAAGAATGAATTCAATAAAAAGTATACATTGAGTACAAGTTTCTCTTGAAAGTAGAGCATTCTTTGTTTTGTTTTTTTTTTTAAGTTTATTTAATTTTGGAGGAGAGAGAGACAGAGTGTGAGCAGGGGAGGGGCAGAGAGAGAGGGAGACACAGAATCCTAAGTGGGCTCCAGGCTCTGGGCTGTCAGCACAGAGCCCGACACAGAGCTCGAACCCACAAGCTATGAGATAATGACCTGAGCCGAAGTCAGACACTTAACTGACTGAGCCACCCAGATGCCCCCTTTAACATAAAATTTTAAAGTAGTTTCAGATGTACAGTCTATTGATTCAACAATTCTTTTTTTTTTTTAATTTTTTTTTCAACGTTTTATTTATTTTGGGGACAGAGAGAGACAGAGCATGAACGGGGGAGGGGCAGAGAGAGAGGGAGACACAGAATCGGAAACAGGCTCCAGGCTCTGAGCCATCAGCCCAGAGCCCGACGCGGGGCTCGAACTCCCGGACCTCGAGATCGTGACCTGGCTGAAGTCGGACGTCTAACCGACTACGCCACCCAGGCGCCCCGATTCAACAATTCTATACATTACTTGGCACTTACTATGATAAGTGTAGTCACCATACAACATTATTACAATATAATTGATTATATTCCCTTTGCTGTACTATTTGGCTTCATGACTTACTTGTTTTATAACTGAAAATGTGTAACTCTTAATCTTTTTATCTGTTTTGCACCCCCCACCCCGCTTACTTCCCCTCTCTGACAACCATGAGTAGTCTATATTTAAGAATCTGGTTTTTGTTTGTTTTTTCATTTGTTTTGTTTTTTTATATTTCACATGTAAGTGAAATCATGTGGCGTTTTTCTTTCTCTGACTTATTTCACTTCACATAATATACCCTATGTCCATCCATGTTGTCACAAGTGGCAAGACCCCATTCTTTTTTATAACTTAGTAATATTCCATTGTCTATGTATGCCACATATTCTTTATCCATTTCTCTGTGGATGGACACTTGAGTTACTTCCATATCCTGGCTGTTGTAAATAGCGCTGCAATAACATAGGGGTGCTTATATCTTTTCAAATTAGTGTTTTCATTTTTGGGGGGCAAATATCTGGTAGTGGAATTAATGAATCATATGGTGTTTCTGTTTTTAAATTTTTGAGGAAACTCCATATTATTTACCACAGTGGTTGAACCAGCTTACATTCCTACCAACAGTGCACAAGGGTTCACTTTTCTCCTTGCTAACACTTCTTATCCTTTTTGCTACTAGCCATTCTGACTGGTGTGGTATGATACCTAATTATGGTTTTGACTTTCATTTCTTTGATTAGTGATGTTGAGCATCTTTGTGACTGTTGGCCATCTGTACATTGTCTCTGGAAAAAATGTCTATTCAGATCTTCTCGATTTTTTAATCAGA